TGCTGAACCTGAGGACTGGGATTTTGTAAAAGAAATAAAACACAGTTAAGGTGATATACCACCCTGCATAGACACCTATGCAACAAAATACCCAAACGTCCAGATATCCTCAGTTAATGAATCACGCCCAAAATCTTACCTATCTCGCTTTGTTTTCTCTAATTTGTCCTTTAATATCATGATCTCCTTCTGCAGTGCAAGCTGATGGCTCTCTGAATCATGTACTTCCTTTTTCACATTTTTTACTTCCAAAACGTGTGACGCTTCTCGTCGGACCAACTCCTCTTCATAAAATAAGATTTTCTTTTCCAGCTCAGACTTAATTTTGGAAAGCTCCTGCTGATGCTCTAGTGTGGCACCTGCTGTCCGGCCTCCCTGCTTCAGCTGCAGGAAAAGAGAAACCATCAGGAAGGGACTATGATTTCAATTTAGAATTGCTGGATTGGTGGCACTTTGGAAAATTTTTTATCTTGGCATTCAGTGATTTAAAAGGCACCTGTCTCCCAGCACTGAGTCCCATAAATGACTACTCTGATTACATGACTCTAATGAGGGGTTCAGATGGGTTGCAGAGATAACAAATTCAGATCACATCAGTTTAGTATCTGCTTATGTTCATAAACTGGACATTTTCGAGACATTAGTTTCCAATGATATATCAAAGTACTTCAAACAAAAAACCTCCAAACAAATCTGAACAGGTTAGATTAAGCTTCTAGTAATGCTGCAGTTTTCAAGCTTTCCACAGGCATCAACAGTTGAGACAGAACTACTGCAGCTCTTGCATCATGAGTAAAAATTTGTCAAAAATCATGAACCTTCAGAGCTTCCAGTTCATTTTCCAACTGCTTGGAGAAGACCTCACTGTGCTCACGAAGCTTGCGTTCTTTTGATGCTTCTGCTACAACTTCTTCAAGTTGGGCTTCCAGCTGCAACAAGAATAATTTTAAGTAATTTCAACACAAGACAGTGCTATCTGTCTCATTAACTTCCTTTCCTCCATACGGATGAATTTTTCCTTATTTCTATTTTATGTTACACCACTACAACAGTCATCTCAGAATGTAATGATAATGGTTTTGCCTTTGTTGATTGAGGCATCCATCTCACACAGTAGAACTATTACTACATGACTTTTTGTACTGATATGAAATACACAAAGTATGTGCAGGGATAACTGCACAGCTTCTATTAACACTAAGAGAAGGAAATGCCACCAGGAAGTTATTACAGTTGTGAAAAAAGAGTCTCCCACATTTGCAGGTCAGCTCCAAGCCTCAGGACCTACTAAGGCAGCTTAAAAGTCCTGACCTTTAAGCCAAGTATTTTAAAAAATACTTCAGATATGAACACTGAACAATTTTATTTTGCAATTATGTAACAAAATAACCTTGATCATCCACTTACTGACTTCAGATAGCTTATCAAAAAGACAATTTAGTGGCAACTAAGGCAACAGTTGCAATTCAAGCAATAGTAGAACAGTTTTAAAACCTGACAGGAACAGTAAGATTTATTTTTCTGAATTCAAATTCAACTAGCAAAGTTGTTTTTAAAGGGAGTGTATTCAGAATTGTGGGCCAAAACAATTAACTTATAGACTCTGTTCTGAATTGAAGATTGATACAGGTGTTAGGAAAAGGATAACAGAGGAATTTGTAAGAACAAAGACAGGAGATTATAAAGCCCTGCATAGAAATATTTAACTGAGTAAGATATCAGGCTTGAATGCCTGATGCCCTTCACTTTAGAGATGAGGTGCCACAGCCTTATTTATCAAATATGGTGCAACAGACACCTTTGCCTTTCCCAGTTAATTACCACTTATTATTCATGAATAAAAGTCTGAGAAACTTTACCTCTTACTGCATTTTCATAGACTGCCTTTCAATTTGCTAGGAGTTTCCTAGCAATGTCTATAAAGCTCTTGAATGTACCTTCTACATTTCATGCGTATAATACATAAAATTTCATAATTTTTCAGTGATTAAAACACTTTGGGTTAACCAAGACAGCTGTTTCTTATGCCCTCTTCTGGTTATTAACTTAAAACTTATGTAAAACTGCAAATTGTCTAGAATGCTAATAGGAAACTGACTTGCTTAAAGATACCATATTCTCTACAGTGGCTAACTACAGAGGAAGGAAAACCACCTATTTAGTCTGTATCATTATTCCTCCCTCCAGTTGAAGAGAAAAATTAAGTTGAAAAAAAATTTAAGTCAGAATACTCCAGCCTTAAAGCACATAAAGACATTAAGTTTTCTAGGTTTCAAGCTGACCTAGGAGTCAAGAGTCTATACAAATCAAAACCCAAGAACTAAGATGCTTGGCATATAGCAAGAACAGATTTTGTCTGATTAACATCAGCTTGAGTACAAATTAAAAAGGAAACTTAGTTAATTTCTTGGTATATCAGTAAACCATTTGGAAACAAAATCAGGAACTATTTTGTGATTGGTAGTAAAGTTATATGTAAGAGTTAGAGGGGTAAATTCTTCTAGATAAGCAAAGTAAATTATCATTACCGATCCTGATTTTTCAATACAATCACAAATGAGATACTGGATAAGCAGCAGCTGAAACATGTTATTGTCAACTCTTTTATCAAGCTACCTCTTTTCTGATCTTCTCCAATTTACGGATGTCCTGTCGCATAGCATCAATCTTTTGCATGCTCATTTCCACCTCTTCTTCTTTGTCACGAAGCTGACGGGACAGCTTCTGCTTTTGGGACCGCAAGTCACCCATCCTCTCACTGAGCTCAGCAAACTCCTGCACAGCCAGCTTCCTCTGCTGGTGGGCATCCCTCAGTTCTTTGGATTGTGTCTTTAACCTCTCTGAGGCTTCTACAAGTTGCTGGTTTAAAGAACAAACATAGCAATACAAAAGTAATTTTAACTCCATATATTCCTTCCAAGAAGAAAGGAAGTGGACCTACATAAGCATGACTTGAAATTTCAACCACCTCAATAACTTTTAAACATTACTTAATTTATGCAGTTTTTTGGGGGCAAGCAGCTGCAGTAACAAACCAAGACAGATGTTATTCTGCTTCCAGTGTGGCAGCTCCACGAATACCTTTGCTGTTACAGAAGGCTGACTTATAAATCTGACTATACAATTCCACTTTACTTCTAAATAACTTACTTTCAGATTACCACCATGCACCTGCATAATAATAATCTTTCTTTAAAGGAATGTTTTAGCAGAAAGTACATTTGGGGGAGCCAACAAATACACTGTACCAGCACTGAGATGCTGCAGCAAATCTTCTGAAATTCTTCAGAAAACTGAAGAAAATTCCTTAGAGCAAACTGGGCAGCTCCAATACTTCAATTGAAAGTATAAAAGCTGTTTCCTTTATAGCAAGTAGTTAACAAAAATTAACCATACTAAGCTAGAAATTGAATGTTGAACAGAAAATAATTTGAGAGTGGGGAACAAATAACAAAAAGAGCAGAACTACACAAGAGAATGAATGTAGATTGGCCAAAGGATTTCTAAAACATTTTGCTGTTAATAGTGACTTCAATACAGGTACCTTTTTTGGTATTATTTTAAGTGGTATGTAGTATATGCAAAACCCTACTTACTTTACTGCAAAATATTCTGCTGACTTAAACTAAGATACTGTTACATTTTAGGAAGCAAATGAAGATGTAATTTACACAACAGTAATAAACTCAGCCATTACATAAAAGTCATTCCCAGCCTCAAGCAGCAATTAACCTTTTGGTATTACAGAGAGTAACTGGGCTCAAGCTGGAGCAATGATCTAGCTATATTAACTTTTTCATATATACACACACATATATATGCCTTTTTGTATCTACAGGACTGATTACTAGCCATAGATCTGAGTTTAACTCCTGTCTATATTAAAACAATTGAGAAAAATTAAACTCTTAAACCAAAACCATTCTTCATGTGTTTGTTCCATCTAACAGAACACATGTGAAATAAATAAGGTACCTATCAACTTCCAAAAAAGAAAGTCTGCTACTTTGGAAAACTACTGCATTGCTAATGAAATTAACAGGTTCATTAACATCTCAGTGTAGTATTAAAAAGTAGCATTTATAACACTAAAATTGCAATCACAACAAGACTGTTCTATAGCTATTTACATTACCATTTTTTAAATGTATCTATCTTTGGATCAATACCTTATGAAGGTCTTCCTTCTCTTGCCGCAACACTCTGCACTGCTTTTCTAGTCCTTTCAACTTGTGCATGGAGTCTTCATGTTCTTGTCGAAAAGCCACTGCATCTGCAAGCTGTCCTTCCAGTTTGCTTATATCTGCAGATTAATCCATATTAAAGGTAACTGGTCCCAAGTTTACACCACTAAAGCAAGCAACATTACTCAAGCAAACTGGCATCACTTTGGAAAATCAGCTTCTTTCCTGTTCCCATAATTTAAGACTCATTAAGATAATTCTGGAGCATTGGCAGTTCTAAAAGATAATTTTTAATTTTCTCAGCCTATTACAGAAAACCTCCCTAAGATTGTGGTCTCCTGAAATGAAAAAAAAAGCCTTAGCACAGAGCTTTGTTTTGTTTTTGAGGAATGTAACTGCTAGGCCTTGAAAACACTGAAATAAACTTGAGTTGTTGAAATCCCAGTTCTAGTAAGTTGTCTTCTAAATAGTTTTCATTATACGACAAGCAAGGCTACAGTCTTTAGTGTGTCCAGCAAGACAAGAAAGGACTATTTATTTACTAGAGTAGATAAGAACTCACAATCTGAGAAGAAAATACCATCCTGCAAGAGGCAGGCTGGAAACCAAACTGCCCATATCACTGGCAATACATTCTCCTGGCCACTCTCTCTTTACTCTCAAAGAAAATTAAACAAATTTTATTTTAAATTACCACCTTTAATCTTACTATTTTGACTCAAACCTAATTCTAGAATATACAATAATAGCTTTTTTTTTTTTTGAAGGATAACCTACTTAAAAAAGCTGAGCTGACTTTTGCAATGCATGCACCTACAAAGGGGGTATGTTGCCAAACTGTAGGAAAAAAAAATAAATCAGCAACTCAACACCTGAACTCACTCATGCTATGCTACAGCCCCTATGAACCTATAAGCCAAGTAATTAGAATTCAAAACTACTATTTTGTTTATCATTGATTCCCACTTCAAAATTAGATGCTAGCAGGAGGTTTGTATGGATAAACTAACAGCATTGTCAAGTAACAGATTTTCAGTGATATGAATGAGTCAGTCTTGTCTCAGGATAGATGCCAGTATTTGTTTTCCTGCAATGCTCAGTGCTTCCTAATTAAAGTATCACCAGACAGAAACACAAAGGGAGCAGGAGCTCAGAAATATTTAAATGTGAACTATTATTACACATCCTCCCACCTATCCCCTTATGTTACTAAAGAGCAATGAGTCTTCTCTCCCAGTTGTCTCTTACTCCTAGCTCCATTAAAACCCTCCAAAACATTACCTGCCCTTCCTCCCCCCACCCCCAAAAGAATGAGGAATAAGAAAACAGAATCTCCTGAGATTTCTAGAGACATACCAAATAAAATCTTTAAATGAACCCATCTAGATAATTCTAGTCTAGAATTCAGTCTAGACTCCCCATTTTAGCACCTCAAGAACATCAGTTCTACTCACTGCAAAAAGACAGTACATATTTAGCTACTCCTACTACATGAAACTGCATTAACTATAATGCCAGAGGCTTACCTGTTAATTTGTTCTTCAACCGTTCGATTTCTTCATTTAGTTTTTTAATTTCCTTATCACGGCTTGTATTTACTGGAACACACACTGGTCCCTGGAGGTTCTGCACTGTCTGTGTGGACTCTTGAAATCAGAAAAGGAAGGAGAAGGTTTTGAATAAAATAAATTCCAATTTCTCTTAATGAGCATAAGGAAGAATCCAAACAAACAAACCACTAACCTTGCAGTTTTCTGTTCAAATCCTGCTTTTCTTGCTCTAATTTCCGTATTTTCTTCTCATAACCTTCTATTTGTGAAGTGTTCCTTAAGTCACGCTGTGCATCCATATCTTTGGTTACAGTGTCAGACTGCATCACACTCTTTAAAGTGCCTCTATCAGATAAAGAGCTGAAAACAAATACGTAAGTTTTAATAAAAACCTCACAGTGGTCTACAGCAGTGACATGTTGGGATTCCATCAAATACTTGCCTTAAATTTACAAGAACAACTAGTGCAGTAAATGTTACTGCAGAGACAATTGTCAGGGTAGATAAAGTTATTATTCCCTGTGTATGTTGCTGTAGAATTAAGATACCTGCATTCAGGACTTTAATGATGTAGATGTATACACATATTCATATTATAAATGATGGAAAATGTTGTCTCCCTTATACCAAAGACTGCTACTACCTGACAGCAGGTAAGTGTACCTGTATGGAGAGAGCCAAGGAACAAACCCCAAAGTTTAGTTTGAAGCATGACAAAGATAGATTTAAGTTAAGCCACATGATTTCACTACAGAAAGGGTGAGATGTGTGACTGGGTTTTTCCTGCAATGGTATCACATGAGGTAACAAACCCCAGCAAAGGGAAATAATGGAGTGACAGATAGTGCAGAACAGCCAGTATATGTTTGAGGGATCTCTGAAGCCACATGGAGGACACTTCAAAGATGTGCAAATTCAGCCACATTTTGTCCATGCTCAGAACCACCCACATTAACTTAACCTACCAGCAGGAGTCTGGACCACTGAGCTAATCATGACAGACATGCAACATGGACAAGACTTGCTCCCAGCCTCTCAATACACAAACAGCAAGTTTATAACCAATTACATGTGAAATATATAGTCCCATAACTTTTATTCATTTTAAAAAGATAAAATATTAAACACAAAAGCATCTAATCTTGTCAGGCATGATCAAAGTATGTTCAGACAATTGTAAAAAAAAAAAAAAAGGTGTGGGAGATAAAGGTTTATCCACAGGTGCACCCATGGACATAATTTTTCTACATGTTTATAAATATGAGAATTTCCCAGTATTAGCTGCATTTGGGAAAAAAAAATTAATAACCAAGATATCCTTTGCTTACCTATCAGTTGTGTACGTAAACCCAACAAATGGCAAATGCAATCCAGAAAAGCCTGAATGAGAACTTGGTGGCACCACTTCCTGCATGAAAAAAAACATGCATGAAAACCCAAAAGGGAACCCACTCAGAGCTAAAGGCATTTAATTTAACCTCAACAGATAAAGCAAGACAGCTAATGGAAAGACTTTTCTTAGCACACACCAACTGACAACTGGCAGTTATGTTCATTGCAGTCTTCCATTGTTCCTAGTTGAACTTTATTTCAGATTAGGTCATGTAAAATAATGACAGAATTTAGCAGCTTCTTGAACTGGCACTTGAAAGCGCAGCATTTCAACAAGGTCAAAGCACAATGCAACCAGTAAAAGAAACCCCGAAATTTCAATCTCCTAATTAAAAGTGACTTGGCACCAAAATGAATGTCATTTGGTTTAGTATGCTAGTTTCTGTTAGACGCATAATAAAAAAGCATACCAAAAGCTCTTAATTTCTTGGAACACTATCTGATGAACAAATTAACACAACAGCCTTCTGCTCCTCCTGACTCTAGTTTGTAAATTACTACATAACAAAAATGAGGAGTCCAACAAGAATGTTCTAGCTCTAAAAACCAACCGCCTGGTTCTTAAGTGAGTAAAGAAGTAGCACTGTGAGCTCTCTCACCTGGACAGCTGTGACTGTAGGCTGCATAGAGAATAGATGTGTATTTGTAAAGACAGATTTATTTTTTTAGCCTTTGAAAAGGAATAATTCCAAGGGCAACTAAAGATTTCTCCCCCCACTGAAATGTTTTAACTTTGACCATGTAACAATAGTTCATTTTGGCAAGTGGATTTAGGACAAGCAGCTCACGATTTCTAATAACCCAAAATGTGAAGAGATAAAAAAAAAATTCACATTTGAAATTACTTATCTTTTGATCTGTTACATTACTGATTTTGAAATAAGTTCTCACTACTACATCACAGTGCAGCAAGGTTGCATACTTGCACTAGTAGTATTTAAAAACAAAGACTCACTGGATTTCTTAGTACATCATCATCTACATCAAAGTTTGAGGTGTCAGAAGGACTGCTAACATCTGGAATGTAAGGTGCTTCTAGGTTTCGAATATTATCCCAATTAAGTCCTTCAAAAAATGCATGAGACTTAAAATCCTCTATTCCATTCTGTCCCAGTCTACGCTCCCTACTGCAGATAAGTCGCTGAATAAGATCTTTTGCTTCTTCAGATACATCTGTAACATGGGATGGAAACTGAAATCGTTCCTAGAAGACAAAATAAATAGAGAAATTTTTTAGAAAATGGATCCATTTTGTAATTTTCAATGGTAGTTTCAAAAAGAATGTGTTCCAGTAAAACTGGAAATGAACAGACAAACATTGCTGTAGTTCCAGCAAGCTGTGGCAGAGCACAATGCAAGTGATAGACTTTCTATCCCTGGATTTTAAGGACAAGTAACCATTTCACAAGTTCTTTAAATCAGATGTATTGAAACTAAAACTTCAATCACAATAACTCCACTGGGAACAGCAAACTTTTTTTTTAAAAGATATACAGGAATTTTGACACATTACAATTTATTTAAGATCATACAGCAAAGGCAGATCCTCACTGGCATTTTTTGCCACAGATTCACCAGTGTCCTTAAGATATACTCCTCCCATGATGGTAGCAAATTCTTTACAAAATGTTATCTTTAAGGACGTATTTTTATAATTTATAGGTTAAATACATGTTATTTTCTAATCAAAATACAATTTATATTTAGCAAAGATTTGTATTGTCACAAACAAACAGAAGATGTAAAAATTGTACTTACCACTAACATCTGAAAATACTCTAGATAAAAATTGGCACATTTTTTCTGTATTTTAGCTTGTTACTACTACCACTGTACAGTCAAGATGGGCTTTTGGGGTTTTGTTCAATAAAGGACAATTGCATATAGTTATCCTTTTATAATCCAACTTTTCAAGTTTAAAATGAGATTATTAGGAACAAAACCAGCATAATTGGAATTTAAGTAAAACTTCAATTGAAAAACATAAAATCATATTAATTGTGTGTCCAAATGAGATTAAAATATTAAATCTGCAGGACAATAGCTTCAAATTTCCTCCCAAGTAGTTTATGAGCCAGGTAGCCAGAGATTACTCTGGTTACAATTGCAATCAGTTAGTTCATTGAAGAAATTAAAGTGAGAGAGAGCTTAATATTCATCACAGCAAGGGTGTCAGCTCTGCCAAGGATTTTGCATCTTATCCATCACTGATTCCCTGTGAGAGCACAGCATTATAATCACCAGTAAACGGCACTCATCCCAGGGAGAAGAAAATGAAACAATACACCCTTTGCAACAACTTCTGGCTACCTAGGATGAGTGTGCACATGAACACATCCTCCTATTGCAGCTCCTGAAAAGACACCACGAACTGTCTTATTCTATACTGTTCAAAACGCACCCAGAAGTTCCAGCCCTTCTCCACCACACTGACTCAAGACAAACCCCTAACCTCATGTTCTTCAAACAGCTCAAGTTCACACTTTTCTACCACTTCTACTTTGGGCAACTCCCTCTGACCTCATGTTCTTCATGCAGCTGATGTCTACACCAGCTGACTTGCCCGTTCCCTTTTTTGTGCTGCTATCACAGTGTGACAGAAAATGTGTGCAGCTGTGTAAATAATGAACTACACCATTTCTCCTGCACAGCCCAGAGGAAACTTTTAAACGGGCTCTCTTGGTTCCAACTACGACACAGGCCTAAAAGGAGAGCTGATTTTAAATTTGATTTTGTGATGAATGCTTAGATTTTCCAACAATAATTACACTAGCCTTTAGAGAAAGATTTTCATTTGACAAAGAAGAAAACATTCCTAAAACCTGAATTTACAAACCTACACAATATGGCTCTAAACAATCATGAAAACACAAAGAACTACCATCACTTCAAAATCTTTAAGTGATGACAGTTTCTCTGTAAACATTATAATCTCAGTGAATACATAAGAGATTTAATACTTCTCTTACTTCATGATTCATAATCTTCCCATAGGTTTCCACTAATGACTCTGCATAAAAGGGTGTTTCACCATAGAGCATTTCATACATGCAGACACCTAGTGACCACCAGTCACATTCAGGCCCATATTTTCCCATTCCATCTTCCATTGCTTGTAGTATCTCAGGGGAGATGTAGTCAGGCGTGCCCACTGCTACTGATGACTGTACCTTAAAAATAAGACAAACATAATTCTTGTAAGTTTTCAGGTTCTCTCAACAACTTTCTCACTCACACACTAGTATTTGTTTCAGACACCAAGACATGATTTTGGAAAAGGAAGAGATTTACAAAATTGCAGCAAGAAAATAAGGAAGACATTAAGAAAGTAAGAAAGACTGCAAAGATTAAGTTCCAGTCTACTTCTCCATAAAATCAGTTGATACATTTTATTCTGAACACAGCAGAAACTTGAAATAGACACACCTGTTGGGAGAATGCAAGAAGTCAAAAGGAGAAAATGTTCTGCCTTTGTACCTGTTTATACTTTAAAATTGCAATTGGGTGCCAGGAGTTGAAATGAGGAATGATAAGAAGTGAGTTCATGTTCTATGCCCAAGTTTTACAGTTTCATTTGAAGATACCAAGGGCAAGCAGACCCCTGTTTTTTTAAGTCAGAAATAGATTTAAGGCTTGTTGCTTAGTTGTGCAACTGGATACAATACAAGGATAAGGCGGGGAATTACCCTGCACCCAAGCAGCATGGAAGCCCTGAGCATTAGCGCAGTGGCAGAACAGCCATTATCTCTAGGAATATATTATCAGGATTCACATAGTTATAATGGCTCCTTCCAATTCCTTCTGCTTTTTAGGATGGTTGATCGTTGACAAGCATTTTATGACTAAAGAATGTCACCAAGACTTGAGTTTGTGTCAAAAAAATCAGTGAACAATGTTGCATGCCAGATTTTGTGAAGACTGGCACCTCAGGAAGCACCCTACACTGGGCAAAACAAACAAAATACCCCACTTCAGGAATGATGTCGCTTTTAGGAATGTATCTAATCTGGTGCACAAGATAGTCAATTACCATAATGTCACTGTTTGATTTGTAACAGGTGTGCAAAATAAACTGCTTATCAATTATCTTCTAATTTTTAATTCTTCTACTTCAGACCTGTCATGGCTGCTAGGTTCCTGGTCATTTATGGTTCCAGCACATAAATAACAACAAACTTCTATTCTTTTTAAACACAAGGTCATTGGACAGCTCCTAAAAATCTCATGAGAACTCAAATGGCTAGTAGGAGAAAAAGATGAAAGATAGAAAAACATAGGAAAGGATAACTTTAAAAAGTAGCAGCCCATGAAAAAGGAGATGAAGACATAAAAAATGTTTCTATGAATATGTTGAATTATACATTTCCCTCAATTTTTAGCATGTCATTAAATTTACAATTTATCACCAGCCTGATGCATGCTGACAGTATCTATTAGCTTTAAGACCAGCAACTCACTTAAACCCATTTAAATTTTTCTTAATACATACTGTGCCATCTTCACTCATTTTCAGACAGGATCCGAAGTCTGCCAATCGTATGTGGCCATTCATATCCAAAAGGACATTATCAGGCTTTATGTCCCTGTTATAACAGAAAGAAATTAAAAGATGAAAAATGTATACTATTAGTTCTGCTTGTAAAGATTAATCTTGCATCAGAATAACAAAGAATTTTATGTTGGATACCCATTGATGCAAACTCTTTTTATTGTGCTAGTTACAACCCTCTCTCCCTGCCCAACTTTAAACTTTGCCCACAATATTGAAGCCTGAGATTACATCAGATTTTCAAGCTCATAAAAGTTAAACTCTGAATGGTCAAAGGAACAAGCAGAACAATTACAGTGAGCCATACCAACTGTAATAGATAGGCAGTTTACTTCACCAACATAATTTCAAGGTTACATGCATCACAATTTATTGTTTAGAGGCAAGAAAGATAAAAGAGATAAGGCAGTATTATAATCTCATTTTTTTTGGCCAAGATTTATAACTAAAGTCTATTTTTCTAAATTTTGTCCAGCATTTCTGTCAGCCAGTGTTTTTCATTTGCTATTCAAGACTTTCTATACACTGCTGCACAGCACATTTGCTTCTATGGATACCTAAAGACCTTTGCATCCTGTGTACACTTGGCACTTACTCTACAAGCCACTGAATTCCCACAGCTCTGGGATCAGATTCCATTTCAACAGGTTATAGAAACATTACAAAGTCTCTAATATCAAACCATGTCTTTCCTATTCTTATACGTGTATATATATATATATATATATATATGAAATGGTATAAGCATGTTAAGTCTACTAAATTACATAGAAATAAGACTCCTGTTTCATTCTAGCTCATTACTTTATATTCTTTTTGACATCAGGAAGGCAGCCAAAAAGGACTTACTAAAGAGCATGTTAATTGAATTTAGTACACCAATTAACCACATTTTCTTTCACCACTTTGTACTCAAATTCACACAAAATAAAGTATCAGAAAAAAAATCAATCATCCAGACAACTTAATAAGACAGTCCTGTGCTGTGCTTTTAAAACAACTAATAGCCTCCATTCCAAATAATTTTAAGAGAACCTAGCTAAGATCTTGGGAAGGTGGTATGAAAGGAAGAGACGAGAGCAAGTGCAAAAACCAGAATCAACTTAGTTATATACCAATTCTGCAGGCTAAAAAGGAGAATATTCATGTCTTTCAAGGTAACATATATTAGTCTCCTTCTCTTTCTCTAGCCAACACCATCCAGGATCAGCTCCCAACATGCCAGCACATCACCAAGCCATTTAAAAATATCATTTAACTAAGCTAGTAAAAATCCATAGCCAAACCTATAATTGATTTTTGTTTTTAACATCATGCTTATTAAAATAAAACTATCTATTGGTAATAAATAAATCCACATATGTTTTATGTTAAATCTCCATCAAATGCATGTTGGTCTTGCCGCACCATAAAATGCTGTATTTCTTTTCAAATGAGAAATTCCAAATGCTACTATGTGTACTCAAAAACTTAAAAATCATACAATGGCTTCAACTTAATTTTTTGAAAAAGACTAGAATTATTAGAAATGAGGAAAAAAAAGGGTGCTCTGATACACCTTGCTACATAGACATGGAAGTTGAAAATGTCTGATTTTTAAGGTGCTGAATTCCAGTTTCACACTTGAGACTTCTGAGAAAAACTGGTAATTTTTTCCAACAGAAACCTGAATTAACACCTTTTAACCAAGGACTAATGTTTTGAAATTAATTACTGTTGCTCATTATCAACATTAAGACAAAACGGTAAATGCTAATCCATGCCTGTCAACATAATTTAAATGCATACTTTTTATAATACATAAAAATATGTGCTAACCCAGAAAATTAGACCATCTCACTATGTTTTTCCAATAAACATATTAGTAATTTTTCATTGTTAAACTTATACCACACATTCCAGCTCCAAATATTGTCGATATTCCCTTACAGTCCCACGAGCACACTTCAAGTGCAGTGGATGCAGAGGACTATTCAAGCTTATACACAACAATTTTAATTATTTTTTTTAAAGAACACTGCTCACAGTCCCATTCAAAGCATGAGCCAATCTCATCCAACACCTCTCTGCTTTTCTGCTTTGCATGCAGATCTCGCTTGCCTCAGGGAACACTGTTTCTGTTCAGAAAGGCTTAATGCCTCATCTCTGAGCTCCACTGTTTCCTATCTACAGCTAACAGGTCATATAAGCCTTTAAAGGGTCCTTGAAATCCCCTCCAGAGCAATCATGCTTCCTCCTAATCCATTCCAGTTGCCAAGCAGTAATTTCTTGGGCATTCATACATCTCCTATTCAAAGTGTATGTTTTGGCCTCAGAGCCATTCATTCCTTCTGCCACAGCAGACATTCATTCAGCCCCATGCAAAGATGTGGCTGGTCAGTTAGTCAGGCCACCTTCCTCAGAAATGTGTGCAATGGTGCCTCTGGTGCACTTCTGAATCTGTAACAGTTTTAATTCCCCGCATTTTGTCTCTAACTCACTAACACACTAACTCACAGAAGCATTACTGATTTTATGTATTTTTTATCTCTTTAATTTTTGAAACCACGATCAAAGTCCAAACAGAAGAGTTCAAAGCATTAGTTTCAGAATTCCCCGTGTCTTTTAAACCTTAGTTGTAAAAACAACCACCTCACTTACCTAATGGCTTTCACACATAAATTTCATAACAGAGACAGTAAAACTGTCTTTGTTTTACAGACTAAGAACTAAAGGCACAGAGAGGTAAAGCCACCTGGCCAAGATGCACCTGGCCAGGGCACCTACAATGCTAGAACAAAGTCCATTTCTCCTAAGCTGGGAACTCTAGTGACCTATTGTGAAAATAACTGTATGGCCATAAAAGGAATTTGCATAATTTTGCTTTCTAATTGACTTATCAAATCTGAAAAGTAAAGGGATAGAAATTCTTGCTTGATTAAGAGTCTCGCAGTGATTTAAGCAAGTATTTACCAAGTGTCTCTCCTCCCTACTCACTGCTCTTCTAAAACAGCTCCTCCAAGAAGAAGCCAGAAAAGCAGCATACAAAGCATCCCTCCTGTCCAGTTTTATGACAGAGAATAGGGAATTTTCTCAACTACTACAGAATACAACCTAAGTTAACATGATGGTAGGCACTGATCTGGACTATACATCTTGTGTGCAGAAACAAATAGACAGACATATGCCCACTCATTACAAAAACCATCTGAGGATGAACTCAGTTAAGTAGATACACTGATGTTATCATGGGCTGACTGTGTGTAAATCTTGCAGAATGTCTAAACGTGCAGAGAACTCACACTGCTTCAAACTTCTAGGTAGGCTTGGATAAAGGTAGATAAATATTGATGAAGTGACAAGACTAAATCAAGAAGCCTGATTAAAAATAAAAGCCTTAGTAAAAGGTTAGTCAGATAAATGTCACTGCTTCTAATAACAATCCATCAAAACCTGATATTTAAAATGTAATCTTAATGCAATATAATGTACAGCTATTACACAGAATATAGTAAGTACCCACAGCAGTTTGCCTGTGGCTACTGTGTCTATTTGTACACACAGCAGTAACTTTAGGATTAACATTGCATAACTCTGCAAGTATTTTCTCCCAAGTGAGGTGGTATTTTACCTGTGCACATAATGCAGCTCATGTATGGAATGTATAGCAAGCACCATTTCACCAATGTAGAACCTAGCCATATCTTCAGGAAGTTTGTCTTCAAACTTACTGAGAAGTGTCAGTAAGTCACCACCAACGTAGTAGTCCATCACTAGATACTGAAAAAAAGAGAAATACAGCAGTTCAGTATCGAGAGACAGGAAGTAAGAAAAAAAATTCAAGCTAATCAATTTTCTGCTGAAAAAAACCTTTTACTGCTGTGGGTTTTTTTCCTGTGCCTGGGGAAAACTCAAAAATGGTAATAATTTGTGATACCTTTATTTATTTACTGTAAAAACATATCAGATTACCTTCATAACCACAGTATGGCTGATACATCAGCATTCATTTCTTAACATAAAAAATCCCAAACAAGATACGGCAAGAAAGAAAGTGGCCTATCACAAAAACTAACGTAGGCTATCAACCATTCAATAGACAATTTGCAGAGGATGGAGGAAAAAAAAGCTAGCTAAAACTAATGCTTGATGCAGCTTAGTCTAAAATATACATTTCATTATGCTTGATGCAGCTTAGTCTAAAATACACATTTCATTACTACTTCTAGTTTTGGTACCATTTCAATACTACTAATGGCTCCGAAAGTGGGAGTTATCACATCAGTATCTTCAAACATTGGCACATCCCACAGCATGGATGCAGAACATGGTTGGCAGGAGCTTGTCCAGACAGAGGCACTACATCAGTAGGAAACTTAAAAATAAAACATGTATGTTCTTCTGAATAGGCTTCAATGGAAAAATAAAAAGCCTCCTAGGCCTATAAGCCATTATCCTATCCACAGAAAGAAACAACACACATAGGTCATGTGAAAGAAAAGGACTCAGACTTGCTATTTGTTTCTCATACCGAGCATTACATTTTAGGTATTTCCTAGCAATATCCACCTGAATCTAGACTTGAAATACAGTGACTCTACCTAGTGCTACCAGCTTTGAGCCATTTTGTTCCATGCTTCCCAAGATGCGCTGATACATGGTTTGAGAAGTAACTTCTCTTCTTCTAGAAATAACCTTCTAAAACAGTAATCTTATTTTTCTCCTCAAGGTGAAAAAAACCTGTAATCCACAGTCCCTGCCACAGATTCATCTTCTACAAGGGAAGAAAAATTAAACAAGACAGGAATCTGAGGGAACACAAAGTACAATACTAACCATTTCCTCACTATCTTTTGGCTTAGAAGAACAACTCCAAAAGGCATAGGTTTTGATATTCTTCTCCATATTATTCTAATTATAGCTCAAACTGATAGGCAAATTTTCTCACATATGTTGAAAGCAATCAGTTCATACTGCACAACTCATCAAGGAAATTTAAACATGTGTTGCAACACTGTATATATACAATAATTATGTTTGAAAACAAAAAGTTACAGAGAAGAACCAGTAATCTTTTAAAAGGGATATTGTTGTAGAGTATTTTCTCTCAAATTCAAGTATTTGAATTGAAGAGGCCTTGAAGAAGCTTCTGTGGGAGCAGAAAAAGCTTGCCTGTCAAAGGGACATGGTAATGTACCCTCCTCAGCTCCCACAGCATTCATAACTCAGCAAGAATTCAGTTGACCCATGAAATGAGGCACCTGGATCAGAGAAAGATGGAAGACCTCTTCTGTAAGAAAGTCAAATTTTATTCATCTTCCGATTGATGATTTTCTTGCCAGGAGGCACATCTCCCCTCACAAGGGGTAAAAATAAAAGGTAGTAAGACTCTGAGTTATTACGTTTGTCCAGGGATGTGACTACATCAAACAGAAGGAGAGTAATTTGAAATAAAAGGAAAAAAAAATCCTATCAAAATACTCTGTTGAGACTCCGACAGTACACACACACGTGCACACACACACACACACACACACACACACACACACGTCCTTCTTCATAAACAAGGTTGGGAAACAACATTTTTCTGGTAAAGCACAAGAAAACTAACAGATTTGAATTTGGAAGAGATTAAGAACTTAAGATCACATACATGTTTCTAATATTCCTGGACTATGTTTTACCTACACCATATCTGTTTCAGCAAAATCACAAAAGGGGTAAGCTTTCTAGGAACCCAAAAAAGCCATGCTAGCATTGCCATGTTATGTCATTTAAGAGTTGGCTGTTTAGAAAACACTATCACATAGTGTATTTGCCTTGAAAACATTTTAAAACTACAGAAGCAGAACCAGAAAATGAAATCAAGAACACAAATTTTCGTTTTAATTTTGTGCTTCTTGCTTATATGTAAGTTCTGCATCATCACAGGCTGAAACAGAAAATAGAGGGAATAAAATTCCAACTACTAGTCTCTGCAAGGGCTGCTACTACTTTTCTACCTTAACATCTCATAGTCTCTTTATTTGTCTCACTCTGAGTCCTTTATCATGCAGCCAAGGGAGGATGGCAAAGCCCTTGGTGTGGGAAGACACCAAGGTTCTCACCCTGCTTTACCGTTAGCCTTACGTGTTTTAGCATTTAAGAATCCTTAGCTAGAATGAACCAACATCACTAGGAACAGACACCAGAAACTAGAGCTTTTTCTCTCAGAAGACCAATGTTCACTGCATGGCAGAGAACCAAGCTCTGTTCTTGTTTTTAACTCAGCTTTGCATTCCATTCTACATGGCTCAAAGATGAGCGGCACAGCTAAAAAGTAAACCAAATCTGCTCAGGTTCTGTAACATTGCAGCACTCCCCAAAGATATGGAAAAATGTGGCTACAAACTTCCTCGTGGAACAGAGAAATGAAAGGAGATCTTTTAGCCCCTGGGCAAGTGAACTACTAAAATGGTGTGGAAGAGAACCTTCGGTTCAAGTTTTTGGGTGAAAGTCACTTCTTGGTATGTTTCACCTTTTCTTACACATATTTACAATGGAGTGACTGAGATGCAGATACAATCCATCTGTGAGCACCAGACATTTACCTGAGCTGGATGCTGAGTAACAAACCAAATAGGAAGGCAGTGTCTCAGCACATGCACAATCAGACCCCAGGCAAGCTGGGCATCTGCTGACTTTGGCTGCCAGGCAGAGCTGTTGCCTTCTTAGATACTGGATCTTAAATTAGATACTAGATGTCTCAATTCTGCTGTCAAGTGAAACTTCAACACCTAAATGTCTTCAGCAACTTGGTGAAAAGAAATGTATTACACTGCTATGGCTGGCTTAGAACAGATTTATATAAAATGCTATTAGCAACACCAGAGCTCTCTTTGTACTGTCATTTCTACTGCTTGCTATCCTGCACAGCTTTTCTTAGGTAGCCCCATTCTTAAAACTACTTGGAAATACTACATTATAGGATGTTTTAGGTTATTTTTATGCAAGTTTAAAGGTTGCTTGGTACTGAACTTGGTACATTTGAAATTATGGACTATCTTCATAAAGCAGTGGCAATGGTAATTAAACTTTGAGAGGTTGAAGATCTGGATCTATCACAAAGCATTCAGTGGAAATAGCTGTAAATGAGGGTCTGAGACCCCACTACTTATTTGCTTGTGATGTGCTTCTTATTCGGAAAATACCTGTAACATGACAATCAAAATAATCTGTTTTGTTTAAGCACCTGGGAACAAGTTTGAGTATTTTCTACCTCTTTCATGAGCTTAACTCCTGAACTCATTGGCAGCCTTTTATCAATATTTTTTATTTATTTATAATAATTACTTGCTATTGTGGTGCTATCTAAAAAAATGTTAAGAAGGTGAAAACTTTCGCCTTACGACTATGTCAATTGTTCCAGAAATGGCAGGCTAGCAAACCCAGCCTTGAGAAGCCACATGGAAGCAGTATAGCTCAGTACATTGCAGATGTTGGAACTTTACTGACCTTGCTCCTGATCAGCAGTCTCTTGACTTCCATGACTAACGTAAAAGTAGCTTCTTTTACAGTTCTAGTAACCCATCATTAAAAAAATGTAATAGGAGTAATTAATTTGTTTATGAACAGTTGCTAAAGTATCTCAAACTACTGAGATGACCACTCTGCTGATTTAAAACCGTATTTTATGTATAAACACTTTAAAGAAGCTATGTTTACTCCTGAGACTTTTAATGTATCTGTTTAATCAGTTTTTAAAATAAAATTTAAAATTATTTTTGCTGGTTTTAAACAAAATCTTGCTTCAAAAGAAATTCAGAAAGTTTGAAATAAAAGTATTTCTTTCTTTCACAGTTAACACCTCCCAAATTATTTAATGGCAATGTTATCCAAAACTTTAAATTTAAGTATGAAGTATTTTATGCAAGTGTAGATTAGTGAACCTAGAGTGCTCATATAAAACTCTATATACTATAGTACTACATTTCTTTCTCACTCTCCTGTAGTTACAGTCAGGCCTTTGAAGTGTCTCTTTAAGGAGAAAACAAGAATATTGAAACACTGCTGCAAGACATGAGGTGGACCGATTTATTGCACGAATATCCTTAAATGTACCAAAAATAAAGTTCTTCCATAATCTAAAGCTTTTATTTGCTGATGAATCAAACATACCAAATAGTTCTCATCTTGAAAGGCATAGTGCAATGTAGTAATCCACTGACAGTCTCCATTCACCAAGACATTTCTCTCCTCTCGGAAGCAAGCTGTCTAAAATGAAGAGAGGGGGGGAAAAAGCCATTGTCAGTATCAACAAAGTAGTTTTCACAACAGGAATATATATAGATGGTTTATGGGATTAAATAAAATTACAGAGAAGACATCTCTATAAATTGGAATTCAGTCTGCCCAAGTGACACATCAGAGAGTCTCTGCAGGCTTGTAGTCAGGCACTCAGTCACTCTAATCTTTACTGGGACCTTAAAAAAACCCTCAACAACGCAACACCTGTCCCTCAACCATTAAAAAGCCCACAAACAAATCTGAGTCAACACTGACTCAAAATTAAAATAATTAAAAATTTATTTTTAAAAGCCAGAAAAATGATAACCTCTCACTGCAATCTGTAGCAGACATCAGATAACTGCTCTAGGAACATAAGTCTGGTTCTTCTGAAAAAAGACCTTTGTGAAAATACAGTGTCCTACTTAACAGTTCCAGACACTGCCAATACACTAAAGGAAATAAGTACATTTTACTATTACTGTCTTATCTTTGTCCAGTATAACACATTTTCATTTTCAATAATCTTTTCTCTACTTCAAATAGCCTACTGCAACACTTCAGAGAAGCAAGCTCTGTGTAACAGGTTTTCTCAGCATCTTTACGTAAAACCAACTTTCATAAACTTCAAGTGAGTCGTCCTTAATAAAAATATATTAACGTTTTTATTGGATCAGAGCTATCAAGATGCAGACCTTGGGACTTTTTCATAACTCTAAATTCAGAAAGCCATTATTAGGCTATTCAGTAGCTGCAGTTCAAGTGCTTGTGTTCTGGAGAATAACTGATATTTTTTTGGTCATTGCCATTTGTCCAGATGTCCTAGAAAATGTACTATGGAAGGAACCTCCCTGGGAAGCCCAAGCTTTGTCACACACTGATTGCATCCTATAAAGGATTCCCAACAATTCTTCCCCCTAAGAAAGCAAAAGTCAATTTACATTTCTAGTGATGATGACCATACTGTGGCCACGTCATAAAGTTAGTAATTATTGGCGCAAAGAGATGTAAATTGTAATTAAATGTTAACTGAGAGTGGCTTAACGGTTTATGAATGCAAGGCCAAAGTATCACTCTACAAAAAGTCTGGCAGCAAGAGCAGCTCTAAGTAATCCTATCCCCTGCCCGCAGCACCAGAGCACAGCACTTCTCAGTTCTTCTGGCACAGCGATGCGAGGAGGCTGCCAACACAGAAAACTAGTTTGTTTATTTTCAAAGACATCGGTTCCTTGATCCAGTTCACTTGCAACCTCAAACAGCAAAGGACTGTTATGAACACTTCAAAACCAGTAATGCTGCTGAACACTTTGCGTCATGATTCAAAGTATAAAACTCCTTTTCTGCTTACACTAGCTTAAAAGGCCTTGAGACGTGCCTTGAAAAAGCCTGACAGGCTCCCTAATCAGCCAGTCACGACTTATTTGGAACTGTCAACAGTAACACTAACGACTATGTATTTTACTGTCAGAACAACGAATACAAATGGTCCACCTTATCAACATAAATGGCATGCCTATTTTTTCTTGCAACGCATTCGCAGATGTCAGTTTATATTCACTAATCTTTCCTGTATTTTAGTAGCTTCCAACCATGTTTTCTTATTGCAGCTGGTACACAAATAAGCAGTGTTTTGGTAACTTTTTGCTATATTTAATAACTAATAAAATGCTTCATAATACAATTCACAAAACAAATACAAACCAATATAACAAAATGCTTCTCAGACCACTCATAAAACACCTGAAATCTGCTTGCCAGTGGAACTGTCTGTTTAAGAGGCTACTGTATTCCCACAGGCTTAATTTTAAAATCTAACAAGTTTTACCACATCTGGGAAATTTTAACACCCAGATGTTTACTGAACTTGATATGCAGGTTAGAAAATCTTGCTTATCCAGAAAAGCTAAATCAAGTGAGCTCACCAAACAGGAAAAGACAAAGGAACATAGCAGAGAAGACAGTTTCTTTATTGTTCTTTGTAGATGAGGAAAATCAGCTGAAAGAGAACCTGACTGTTACTTGTCCTAAGTGTGTATTTGGAACCCTGTTGCTCATTATACCTCTTTCCTGGTGGAGAGGCTCCTTCTCTGGAGATTTTCAAGACCTGACGGGATGCATTTCTGTGTGACCTGCCCTAGGTGATCCTGCTTTGGCAGGGGGGTTGGACTGGATGATCTCCAGAAGTCCTTTCCAACCCCTAAGATTCTGTGATTCTGTGATAACCCTCTTCCACCTCTTGCCTGCCTGTTGTAGAATTTGAATACAATTTCTGAACAGCTACCTTCTCAGAACATGTCTACATGTAAAAGTCGCAGTTATTTAGGTAAGCCATTTAATTAAGTCACTTTAAAAATGACTGAAATAAGCCAGCATAGCTGTATTTCCACTAGAGTTTGGGAGTCTCCTACAAGCATTTGGGTTTAAAACAATTCTATACTGACCACTGAATTAATCCAACTGAAACCTGTGTAGAAAAGGGCACCAAATGTCCCCCAGACAGGAGACGGCTTAATGCAGAACTGCTAGTGCAGCACAGGCAGGAGTGTCAACTCTCCTGAGAGCTCCAAGGAAAACCAAATGGCAGCGGCTGCTGCTGCTTGTGGAGTGTGCAAGACAGACAGTGTGACTAAATCAGGCAAATGCAGGGGCTTAACAAGAGGGAGGAGAATTATTCACAGGAAAAGAGGTGGCACTGACTCACTGAAAGGAAGGGAGGGACTAGGAAGGGCAGGGGAGGGAAGGATGTGTCTAGAAGGGGCCAGAAGAATGGGCCAGGGAAGGGTCAGCAGGCTCAGTCCTCTGCAATCAGTCCGTCTTCACCCCTTTACAGAACTGCTAACAGTACTGACAGACTTCAGCTATTTCCCCCTAAAATCTATTGCTCATTTAACTGCTGATTTATGTAATATTACATTTGCCATAAGGTTTTCCTTTACAGTGCAAGAGTAGGGATTCTAGAAATACGCCACTTTCCATGACACATTCTCAGCAGGTCCTTCCCTAATCTGTGAAGTACCCATGCACATTTGCATAATACGTTGTGACAACGTACATCTCCTTTCATCAAAAATAGCCTTTTTGAACAGTTTTACCTTTTTAACATATTTTGGTTTATAATCTGAATCCATGATTCCAAAGAATTTAGCTATAGTTTCACCAGTTATACAAATCCTGTTACAAGCTGCAGGATGCAAAGCTCCTTAATGGATGCTTTCTGAATGCAAGAGAAAAGAGACCTTTTCATAACGTTTTTGTATACAGCTGTGATTGTTACAGTAGTACCAATCTCAGCTTTCATGTAGTCTCTCACTTGCCTTTATTGTAAACAAAAATCTGGCCAATAAATTCTACCCAATAGGGTAAGAACTAGGGCAGACTGTCTGGTAAACGAACACACAGTAATGCTGAGAACAACAGATGCCTGGAAGGGACTGTCAGACTTGATTGCATTAAAACAGCTTAAGGAAAAAGAAAAAAAGAATGAAGCTCCTATGCTCGTGAAATAATTCTTCCTAATCTGGAAGAGCTTCAATGTAATTTTCCTAATACCATTTTTAAAATTCTTTGCATTAGCAAACCGTATTACTTACCTCTGCCCTTTTAAGCATTTCCCATTTATTTAGAATTTTCATTGCATAAATGCGCTCTGTGCACTTCATTTTAACAACTGCAACCTGAAATAAGAAGATAACTTTATTTAACAAAAGCAAGGTCAGAGAAATAAAATATTTTAAAAGCTTAATATTAACAAAATAGTAATGAAATAATTTATTAAGGAACCATCAGTGATCTGCTCACATATTGGTAAATTTCAGCTCAAGTCTTTTCTCCTACATTTCTCCTCCATTACTACAAGGTACTTGATGCACAGTACACCATGGGTGGCCAAGTGCTCATGATCAAGTACAGGGGATGATAGAGGAGGAGTATGAAGCTTTTCATATGAAGATGTGTAGTAAAGCTGCATTGTTTGCCAAGAACAAGCGATGCTTGTACACCATGTCTTCAGCCAATGAGGCAACATTTAAAAGGGCAGCCTGTGAAAACAAGGAAGGCTGCTGTCAATAGAAATACACTACATTTGACTAATTTGTTTTCACATTTCAGGTTTCAGAAACTTGAAAGATATTTGCAAATTAACATGCTTTTTTGTACTGTATGCATATAGCTAAAAAGAAGCAAAAACAGTATTCATTTACGTATTCATCATTTTGCTTGAAGCATTTTACTGCACATTCTTTGTATTAGATTGCTCAGACTGGTCTATTATGAACAGTAGTTGTGCACATAGCTGTACAGTGGAAGAAAAAACACACGGACATTGAAACTTCAAGGCTTAGGAATGCAAAGACTTTATTTTGACCAAGACTTGTATTCTCCAAGACCAAAACTAATTCTTCTTGTAGTAAAGCCATAATTTCCACAAAATTCTTCCAGTTGGCAAGGAAAAGCAGGCATCATGACTAAGACAGCAACATATTCACAGGACTGTGCATGGACTGCTTGAATATTTCTGCTGCTTCTCAGCTTGCCTCTATTTCAGAAGTAGAAAACCAACTAGCTTTCATTGCTTTTATCAGAGCTCTAAATAACAGTGGGAAAAGTAACTAATCACATCAGCTAGCTTCTTCTGTTGCTTAAAAACTCTCTTACAGATAAGGGATTCAGGAACTGCAGCAACTCTAAGAAGATACCGACTATAAAACAAGGTTGGAGTAATGCATCAAGAAGAGCAACACTACGAAGTCAGAAGCCCTGAAGAGGGAAGAGGGAAATGCCCTCCCTGCACCTTACCAGTAAAGAAGTTCCAGATGAGCGGCAGGGAGGCGACTCCTCTTTCAGTTACACAAGTATGGGACATTCACATTTAGACACACCTGACTTTGCAGATGAATACCTAAGACACCCACCCCTCCATGTGTGAAGCTCCACACACCAGCCATGTAACAAACAAGCAATACCTAGAACATACCTGCCCAGAGAGTCATGTAATGGAAACACATCTTAAGAAAAGCACTAGCAGGTATCCATCACAGGACAGACATGGGAATCTGGCCCTAAATGCAGCTGGGAAAGATACAGCATGAATAAACAGCTTCTGTAAGCTACGTAGAACAACCACAGCTACATTATGTCCCAGTGTCTTCAGGCCTCTGAACACCTCCTGCAAACACTGCTTCTGTGACAGGGCAAGGATGAGTAAGATGAGAATGTCTCATCTCAATGTGAGGTTCTTTGGGACATATGAAAGCGTTCAACACTGACCTTTGGTAATGGCCTAAAACATTTAGCTTTGTTCCTATCCTCGTCATGGCCTTGCAGTCAAAAGCCATCGTAACAACCTCTCTGCACACCCTTAATTGAATTATTTGCCTGATACAGCTGAAGACATGCAGTAAGTCAAACTGCACATTGAAAGCTTTGGGAAACTGCAAGATGCTGACATTACCTGCTATATATTTTAGCCTCTGTTCCATACAGAATGTGATGACTCAGGAAATCCTACCACCTTCACTGAAGGGACAGACCAAACTAAGCAGAAATGAACAAAAGCTCTGAGAGCCCTGAAGTAGCAACATTCAGGTTTCATTACACCACAACACTAGAACTCCTCAGCCATTTAAGTACAAATACAGTATACAAACCAAAAGTCAGATATGCATCTACTGCACTTTACTGAAGGCCATCGCTGTCTGAAAACACTGCAGGCTGATAGAAGTTTGAAGTGTGCTCTGCTGCTGAGGAGTGATGTGAGCCTGGAACATGGAGGACATCATGGAGGACACACACAACTGAGGAGCTGTACAAACCTCATAACAGAAAGTGATGAATGAGAGCAGGCCAGGACAAAGGAAAAACAAAGAAGGAAGCCAAATCTGTAGGACCTACTTAGCAATTCCCCAGTTGCTATCTATCTTAGTGCTGTTTATTTGCAACTGAAAGAACTGCTTATAAAAGCCCAATTTAAACTTTCTGGAGGAACAGAATTGTCTTCTGTGGAAGAAAAAGTGGAATGAATAAAAGGAAAGCTGACTCGTATTTTCACAAGTGGTTACTGAGATGTGGCACAAGTAGACACACCGCTGCTTTAGTTTTAAGGGGGACAGTGGGACAGCTTCTTGTTTCAGCAGAAGAACAAATGTAATCATACTGCAAAATGGGTAATTCCCCAATAATTTAGTCTCTCTGCATGAAGGGGCCTCACAGAAGTACCAGAACTTTGGCCTCACTAGAGCTGACTCCGCAAGTCACTCTAATGATTAGGATTTTTTTGTACATTTTAAGAAAACAAACAAATGAAAAATCCAAATCTCACTGATGTCTGAACTGAACCTAGGGAAACACAAATTCAATTATGTCTTGATAAACTCAGTACTATTATAAGCAAGAATGTTGTTGCAATACTGCAAAAAAAAATAAATCCTACATCCATCATTCCATAAAACACAACAGCGTTTTTTCAAGTTAGCTTTCTTTTACTTCCTTCATCAGGTGGCAGCATTTTTAAGCTTACATTTGTCATAAAATGCTTTGGCTGCTTCTGAGATGCTGTGGTGTACTTGTTCTTTCTTACTTTCATCTTAATTCCTCTCTCTCTGGCATACTTCAAATTCAATTACAATAACCACACTGACCACTTTGCAAGATCAAACAGAAATCTCTTATATTGCAACTGTGTTAACCATGAAAGATGTCAGGTTTTAAATATAATGCCTCCTCTACAACATACTGATCCCCCACATCTACAAATGTATGAAAAAATGCTGTGTTCAGACATATTCTAATGGACACAGATTTGTACACTGTTGCAAATGTCTAGTTTTAGAAAAAAAGCATTGCTTTTCTCTTCAAAGTTTAAAAGTCTACTGGCCAAACATATGTTCATATTACGCACAGACTATAAAAGACTAGGAGTTAACTCTGGTGCTCACTCTTCATTTCCAAGGCTACTACAACTAACACTGCAATAGAAGTTAAAAAACAGCATGCTAAGGATAGTAAGAGGAAAAAAAGGGACAATCAGAGTTATAAATAAGCTTCTGAAGAAGATTCAGTAGCCTAAAACATTCCAGGCCTAGAAGAGATAACAACTGTGATAGGCATACAAAACCATGAATGTTGTGGAGAAGATGAACAGAGAACAATTTGCTGTTTCTCATAACTCAGAAATTGAAAAACATTAAACAAAATTTTAAAAGTTAGCAAGATTAAGGAAGTATTATTGTCACACAACAGTTCTGGAACTCAGCCACAGGCTGCTGTCTACACCTAAGTATTCAGAAAGCATTTCTGTACATTTCAATATCTGAGCAACACATATAGCAGCAGTCTCAGAGACTACAGACTAGTGAGTGTTACAGGTGTGGTTAGGGAACCTGAACCCTCTGCTGCTGGAAACTGGTAAGGTTCAGCTCTGCTTTGGCCTTGGACTTTTCCCACATCTCTCTACCTGGCCAAAGGGATGAGATACAGACTAACTAATCCACACACCTTTGACCCAGAACAACTGTGTCAAATTAAGAAAATTAAAACTTACTCAACTTGCATTTTACTGTGCTTGGTTGGAATGGAGAACTGAGGGTTCCAAACAGTGAACATTCACAGAGTGGTTTGGCAGAGATTTAGGTGACTCTGTTTTACCAATTCTTAAAACACTGGTGAGGAAAAATTCCAGAGGCAGGGGGTCCCCACCAGTGCTGCCCCCCTTCCAGGCAAGCCCCTATGGGTCTGAGCTGTCAGCCGATGATTTGACTACTGTCACAGTGACTCAACATGCTCAAAATTTGCAGCAACTGGGACACTGTAATAAAGCACATTTCCTCAAAGACCTCAGAAAGCCACTGAATCCCAGTGACTACATGTCAACCAACTTCAGACATATTTATGTCAAAAAAATGTATGAGAACTGGAGCTAAAGTCTAAGCGAGAGCCAGTTGTAGCAACTACACACAACATCCTATGGGATTTGTACTGTTTCTGCCAGTAATGTTTGCCTCAAAGTTCTGTTGCATTTGCACTTCAGTAAAATAAAAATGGAACCAAAATACTAGAATAACTTTCTTAGACTTTGGCAAGAAGTAGCATTTTGCTTTTTGAATTGTTTTACAGAAGTATCCCCTGGCCTTTTCTTATTCAAAAGCCACTTGATACTGACATTTAGTATTGCAGTGTGCAAAGCCAACACAGGCCAAGTTCCACCTTTCCTCATGACCTGATGACATCCGCAGGGTGGGAATATGAGCCAAACCAGTCTCTACAAACATGACAGAAGTTTCCACCACTGTACTCTGCCCTTTGAGAGACATGATCAGCACCAGTAAGTTACAAATTTTCTTTTATGTAAACGATAAGCACAGGGTAAAAAAAGTGGAGAAACCACCATTTAAATGCAAGACTGGATTTCCAGAAAACAATTAGGACAGTTAACAAATAGACTTTCTACTGGAAAATCTGTAAGTTCTTTAATGTTCAACGTAGAAACCATACTGGGATTAGTTTCAAAACAAAGGTAAAACACTATTCATGCCCGTGGCACCTTAATTTTTCAGGTAAAACTCACCCTGAAGGACTGGACCTTCAGGGATAAGGTGAAACTCAAATGCAAAAGTTCTCAGCTGAAAAGAACATTGACATATAGGTGTTAATCCTCCTGCAAATCAGCTCATAATGACAG